TTAGTCATCTGCTCTCTTAAACATCACAGCCAAGGAAACCTTACAGCGTAGTTCAGGGTCACTATAAGTTTCAAAGTGACTCAAAGGCAACCTCGAGGTACCAGAGTCTCTAAGTGACATGCAGAAGATTTGAACTCAGGTTGTCATGATCTGAAGTCCAGATCCCTAACCACTGTGCTATAGTAACTACTGCAAGAAATGGGGATAATGATTTTTTTCTGAGTGTTACCAGAATAAAAATGGATTCAACAGAGTGGGTCTTGGGGTTATGTTAATAAGTCAGGAGATAGTCTATAATTAGGTTGTACCTTGACTCAATCCCTTCTGCAATACAAAAGAAATCAATCGAGCAGGCAGAGATTGGAGGGACCTTATGTAATACCACAAAAGAAGGGTCTGGAGAAGATGTCATGCTTCAGGCTCAAGGTCCTTTTGCTGAGAACTTCCTAGACCCTGGCAAAGCCTGATGCCAAGACACACAGCACCCACAGATGTTGAAGGGAATAAGACATTCCAGAGCCAAGAAAGTTTGGATTTCTACTTTTCTTAACTGTGGGACAATAAATTTCCATTTGTTAAAGCCATCCATGTGTATTTCTGTTAGAGCAGAACTGAGTAAAAAAAGACACATTCACATGTCATATCTCTGTTACCGCAGCACTGGGTGATTAAGATACTCTCACTTGTGAGCTTTTATGTCCTATCTGAACGAGGTCACTAAGATAATGAGGAGCCTAAGATGGCCTAGGAGAGCCAGACACGTGGCCAGCACTCCGTGCTTGTGAAATGAATGAGAGAATAGCCAGGCTATGGAAAGGCCAGACCTGCTGGCCCCTCCTGCCCCAGCCCACATACCTGCTCCTTGGACTGGGCCTTCTGCACGTAGTCCCGGCCCACCTTGATGCGAGGGGTCAGCAGGGCCCGGGAGAAGTCTGTCACCCCCAGGCCCAGGAGCCGGCAGAGCTTTTGTGCGGCTGTGGGTGAGAAGCACCAAGTTATAATCAGAACGAGAAGTGATGTCAGAAGAAAGTGGTGGAGCTGGTGC